TGGAAAAAAGAGCAAAAGGTGAACAAATTCTTTTCACCAAGACATTTACCTCACAACAGTACTATACCATAAGAAGTGATATGCTCCAGCGTTGAATCACACTGGACTGCAGCCTTAAGTAGATGGAGAGGCTCATCAGGCTGATGGCCGCCAGGTGTTAGTAATCAGCAGCCATCAGCAAGGCAGGCTGCAGGCAGTGGGACCCTTACAGCCGGTGTCCTTCAAACAGGTTTTTAAAAATCACTGCAGCTCAAAAAAAACACACAAAAGGCGCGTGTGACACAACCAAAAGTGAATGTTTTCAACAGACCGAGTCCAGTGGGAAACCTCACTCTCAACCTAAGTTGTGCGCTGCACCCTCTGACCGCAGCGGCAGCAAACGTGCGCCCCCGCGGTAGCCTTCGCCGAAGCTGCACCGCATGGCCTCGGGCACGTGTGCCTCCCCTCAGCGCACGCCAGCTCACATCAGTACGGATGTGAGCCCGCAGCCTGAGCGTGGCACAGAGGTGCCTTCAGGGCCCTTTCGAAAAAGCCTCACCTTGGGTTGCTCGGAGCACGCCTTCGCAGCACATGATGGCGGTAGAGGCTGTAAACCCTGTTGACGTCCGTAAAAAACATGACGTAGCACGGAGACGCGCGTCCACTCCCCGAACATTACGCGGAGTGGCAGCGAGCGTGCGCTCTAGACAGATGGATGAACCGCCTTATCAGCAGGGGATACACGCTGCAGTTCGCAGCTCAACCCCCCTGTGCTTTGACAAGATGTTTTTGGCGCAAGCGGGCGCTTCTTATGGTGTTTGACTGGACCCAGTGAGGCGGAGACTGCATCTGCTTCGCTCTTAACCCACCAGTGACGGCTCTTAAAGGGCGAAGCCTATACAAAATAGAACGTTGGTTACGTACTGTAACCCCAGATTCTATGAGTATAGGCGTAGCCCTTTAAGCGTCGGGCCTCACTGGCTCCTAAATGGCTAAAGAAAAAGCTATTTGGGAGCCGATTACCCGCTCTTAACGTAATTTATACGGACCCGGTGGGGCCCACACAACAGGTGGGCGTGGACTAATTTTTTCAGTGCGATGCTTTGCATGATGGGATAAACCCACTAGCGACAGCCTTAAAGGGCTACGCCTATACTCATAGAATCTGGGGTTACAGTACGTAACCAACGTTTTCCCCCAACATCTGTCACTTTGGTTACCCGCCATCCTTTGTAGCGAGAGCAGTTTTCAACAGTTTGTCTAGTACTTCACATCTATTATGACAAGCTAAACGTTTGGCGCTTCTGTAGAGTCTTCAGATTTAACAATGCACTGCCCAAAGGTGAAGCTAAACAATAATGTTTTTGGCCATGTGTTTCTTTTTGTCTGATATCAAAGTATCTCAAACAACTGGACAAACGTTAATGAAACTTATAGAATATAGTCAGTGGGCGTACACCTACAACTGATTTATGGTTGTAGCTGAGAGCCATTCACAACACGTACTCTGAGCATGACATTGTGCTGATTAGGTGTTCAAGGTTTGACCAAAACGTTTTCAACTCCATCGTTTCTCAACACAAGTTGATCTCTGAACTCTGGCATGAAAGGTAGAGAGCAGTATGAATTCCATCAAGGGCCTTTTTCAACTGTGCTTTAAATTCATTCATTCAACCTTTATTTAGACAGGTAAATCCCATTGAGTCTTGAGGACTCCTTTACAAGAGAGACCTGATAAATGATGCTAGACTTGTCTTCTTCACCAGTTTTTGTCCCCAAACATGGAGCTAAGAGGGAGAATTGGAAACACCTTCTGTGGATGTTGTGAGCGCGATAACTTGAAAAACAAGTGAGGTTACCAACGTCCATGTTGGTGTGTGACTGCACCTAGGTGTAAGAAAGGTCACCGTCCAAAATTGGCTTGCTGCTTCAAAACCTAAGATGGCTGCCACCATATATATATAACTATTCTTTCTCGTTTTATATTACTTAAAAGTGTTGTTTTCAAATTGTAGTTGTGGCTGAAGATAAATCTATGGCAGCCAAGGCCCCCATTGGTCACCCCTTGGCTCTGCCATTGCTCCTGGTGGTGGATAAGTTACTTCCTCTACTCACCAGGATCCATCTCTCTGCGTCGCCTCAGACATGCCAGAAGAAAAAACATTATCTCTTTAATTTCGTTTCATTCCAGAAAAACTCATCTGTGGGGGGGGGGGGGGGGGTTCAGCTTTTTCAAGCTGTATCTGTTTGTACTGAATGTCTTCATCTCCCAACAGAAAGAAGAAGGAAAGGTCCAAGGCCAGCTGAACCACACAGACTCCAGCCAGTACATCCGGGATCTCCAAGACCAGATCACAGAGCTGAAACATGAGGTGAGTCACCAAAATGTCTTTTTGTTGTTTCTTCCTGAAAGTAAAGTTCTTGTCCTCCCGGTCACTGCAGAGAGAAGCAGCAGAACAAGAAGGGCATTAAACTACATTTCTCTCATGTTACTGAATACAAAAATAAACTTTGTTGATGCCAAATACCTGCTCCATCTCTAGTAGCATATTTGCTACTTCCTAATGATCTTTTTGACCTTTTTTAATGTCTTTGTGTGTGTGTAGAGTTAGTTTGTTGGTACCACGTCTTTGATGCAGAGTTTATGTTTCCTCAGGTTTGACTCTGAGCCCTACAGATTAGTAGAAGTGTTAACTACGCACAAAGACTTCCTGTGCAGATTTGACAGCACACGTTTTGCAGATAGCATCAAAAACCATGTTTTTCTCTGACGATATGAAAACCAGTTGCAGCGTAGGTCCAAGGTAACGGAAAGTCACAGCACAAAAATAATTAGTATCTCAGTAAAATGTGATTAATGCAGCTATGTGTAAGGTGCCTGTCTGTGTGTGTGTTGGGGCGGGGGGGGGGGGGATCATGGCTAAAAGATGAGGGAAACAGGAAGACACCGCTTGAAGATTTTTATCAGTCATTCCAAAAAGAAAGGAAACAACAAGCCGAACGTTTCAGGCTGCAGAGTCTGTCTGCCCTAAGATAGTACGGAAATATTTTAATTCAATTCACTTCACTTTATTTATAGAACGCCAGGTCACAACAGAAGTCGTCTCAGGGACTGAACAGAAACATTCATATATAAAATAATAATTTAACATTTATCTGAGGAGCAGCTTTGACTTTAACTCCATCACAGACTCTCATGCAAACATGAAGGCGACAGTGGAAAGAAACAACTCCCTCGGGAGGAAGAAACTTTTAGCAGAACCAGCTCAGGACAAGTGTCCATCTGCTTCAACCAGCTGGGTTTGAGAGGAACAGATACACAATGGCAGGTCAAGAATCACATGTTAAGATAGAAATAGTATCAAATGAAAACGATTCAAATTTAACAATTCATTTAAGGAAATGAGGTCAGTTTGTCCTCCAGTAGTCTAAGCTTAGGACCATGACAAGACAACTCTATAGGATTCATCAAAAAGGAAACACTTGGGCCCAGTCTCAAAACTGGACAATGTGTCAGCCCTGCAGCCAAACTGGTTCAGGAAAAAGGTTTGTAGGCTCAGTCTTCAGGTAGATGACGACAAAGCACTTGGCTTGAAAAGCAGCAATGAAGGCTGCTTATGGGACAGAGACACTGGTCCAGATGAAACAATTTAACATTTTTTGTTGTTTATTATGATCAGCTGCATCAAATGCAGCACTGAGGTCTGACAGGACCAGTGCAGACACCTGTCCATTGTCGGAGGCCACGAGAATATCATTAGTGACTTTCACCAGTGCACATTCTGTGCTTTAAACAAGCTGATCAGTAAGAAGGAGAACATTCTAGAGTTTAGTCATAACTGGAGGGTCAAGTCTCTTTAGAAACTAGACCTGGCATCAACATGTGAACAGATGATTCTGGTGGACCTGAGGACATTCCAGAGGGTCTGGCAGTAAACCAGTTCAAACCAGATGTTTAGAAATAAAAACTCAATCTGACATTACATCAGACTAAACCTTTCCTGTTTTTGCTCAGTTGGGATTCTCAGAATTATTTGTATTTTTATGACTTTCTGTAAAGTCACAAGTTTCCACCCAGTTGCTTCATATGTGGTGGTGGTGTCTGTAAATGTGGGTCAAAGGTTTGGGGTCTTCAGCAGTCAACGGCAGCTTGCTGGATTGTGTCCCTCTCCTCCTGACACAACTGCTGGAGCTGGCTCAGGTTTTCAGCTCCGTCCACAAAGTTCTTATGAGGCTGAGATCAGGGCTCTGTGATGGCCACTCCAAGTCATTGACCTTATTGACCTTCAGACATTAACCTGGCTGCATGCTGGGGGACATTGTCCATCCGAAGAACCATTCATGGCCGGGCTTTAACTTCCTGTTTGGTGTCTTCAGCTGTTGCTTCAACATTTCCACGTGAAGTTCTTTCCTCTTGATGCCATCTATTCTGTGAAGTGCACCAGTCCCTCCTGCAACTAAACAGCCCCACAACATGATGCTGCCACCCCCATACTTCACAGCTCAGATGGTGTTCTCAGCTTCTTCCCTTTTTCCTCCAAATGTAACGAAGGTCGTTGTCTTCATCGACCACAATAGAACATAAAACATCCAAGGGGGTGTTTTTATAAGTACAAGTAAAAGAAGAGGAAAAGCTGAAGCAGTTACCAGTAGACCACAAGCTAAAACAAACTAAACTGTAGCTAAAAGCTAAAATAAACCGAGCAGTAGGTACGTGCTAAAATGATCAATACACCTGTTAAATACTTTGATCTAAACGATAGCTAAAAGATGAAATATGCAGAGCAATAGCTAAAAGCTAAATACCATACCAATTTATTTATAGAGCACTTAAAACAGCAACAAGGCCAACCAAAGTGCTGAACAATAGAAACAAACAGGCACAGCGGACAGGAAAACATCAAATAAAACTAAAGATACAAATAGCAGTGGATAATAAGTAAATGGCCGACACTGTAGACACAGACAGGATCAAAACAAATCACACTGTGTCAAAGGCACGGGAATAAAAGTGGGTTTTCAGGCGAGACTTAAAGACTGTGAGTGTGGGAGCCTGCCTGACACGCAGTGGCAACTCATTCCACCGTCTTGGACCTGCAACAGATATAAATAAATATATAAATGTACAAATAAATATAGCATGATTAAGACAATTGTAAAGTGGAAGCAGACTTCAGGGTGAATGTTTGTCTCTGTGTATTTCTATGGAGCTAAATTAATTTTTTGAAAAAATGACGAACATTATGGAACATTTTTTCTGATCAACTTGAACTTCTTGATATAAAAACGTAGTTTAAATTACTGTAGTTTAAATTACAGTAATTTAAATTACTGTAGTTAAAATTACCGTAGTTTAAATTACAGTAGTTTAAATTACAGTAGTTTGACCTCAGTAAACCGAGAGGAACTCCAAACAGGAAAATAACGCTGACTCAGCGGTCACACTGTTTTTGTTGTTTCATCCTTTGCAGCTTCAGTTTATTTGTGTTTAATGAGTCACAAAGAGCTAAATGAAGGAAGTGCAGTCGTTTATTTCACATCCCTCCAGCCTGAAGACACATGCTGCCATTATTAACCTGCACTCCTGCTTTCATGTTTTTAATACAGCTGCTAACACCAATCGTCCCTACTTTTACAGATTTGCTGCTTGAGAGGACCGAGGGGCCTGAGCGGTCAGCCCACCTTTGATGGGATCCATATTGTCAATCACTTCTTGGGGGGGGACGAGCCTTACCAGTCCTCGGACGACGATGGAGCAAAGGACACCTCTGAGCTCCAGCACAGGAGCACCAGGCGGATCAAACTGCACCCAAAGCTCGGGGGTACAGACAGCGAGGACGAGGACGGGGACGAGGACGGGGAGGCCCTCCGGCTCTCTGTGCCTCAGAGCGGCAGCCAGAAATCCACCACTGTGTAACCCACTGAGCCCAGTAGGGGCCGCTTCACAGGAGGGGCCGCTTCACAGGAGGAGCCGCTTCACAGGAGGTGCCTGAATGTCAAAAAGCATCATTTCATGTCATGTGAACCGTGCTCAGAGCTTTTTATGACCTTCATGTGTTTTTGGTCTGTATGACTAAAATGACGACGAGGTCAGAAGGGAATTACACAACATAGACCCCCTGGGGGGGTGGGGGGGTCTGTCTGTCACCCCCTCCCCTCCCTACAGACACAAATAAAACCTTGTGTGGTTTATTATACACTTCATCCAATGAATTTTATATTTTTAAAGGCTTTTCTAAATGAATATCAGGTGCCGTTACTACACTTACTTCCTGTGTGTGTGTGTGTGTGTGTCTGTGTGTGTGTGTGTGTGTGTGTCTCTCTGTGTATGTGTGTGTGTGCGTGTGTGTGTCTCTGTGTGTGTGTGTGTGTGTGTGTCTGTGTTTGTGTGTGTGTGTGTCTCTGTGTGTGTGTGTGTGTGTGTGTGTGTGTGGTATCAGAGCAGCTTCTGTTAGCCGTTGATGACCTGATCATGTTTGGGCCTTCACACACTTCACGGTCAGTGTCGTCTGCAGACATGTAGCTGTAACATCTAGATGTTTTTTTATTTGTTCCTTTTGAACTTGAAAATGGAAAGTGTTGTTGCATATCTGATGTTTAAATGTTTTGTAAAATAAGACAAACGAAGAGGGATGTAAGTTATAGACTGCAGAAATGGTTGGTACCACATCAGATCACTGAAGTACGGACATCAACCATCAGAACAGGACTTGTAAAAATAGCCGGGCTGTCCCTTTAGTGTAGCTAAATGTTTTCTGAGAGTGCGTCTGATTTGTGGCTTCACGCTGACACGAAGCTCATTTTATCCTGAGGTACAAACAACAACCGTCTGATGAATGTTTGTAACTCGTGCAACCAGACGCTCCGAGGAGGAGGTGGAGTCTGAAGGAGGTCCAGTTTGAACACAAACCTTCAGGGACATGAACGTCCAGGAACCGGATGGAGTTCTGGCTCGGAGTGGTCCAGAAAGACTTTGTTCTGTAGACGGCCACGCTGTTTAATGAGAGGAACCACTTTGGCACTTTGAGTCTGCAGTGAGGACAGATGGACAACACTATGGAGCGTTCAACACTCTGAAGACGTGTGTGTGTGTGTGTGTGTGTGTGTGTGCGTGCGTGTGTGTGTGTGAGACAGAGAGAGAGACGTTAATAAAATGTTTGATACAATTTGGGCCTTTTGTATTTTTTTAAATCACCCGTTGATTAAATGAGTCTGTTAGCAAAATATCTGCCATGTTTCTGTCTGAGGGCTGTAGCTGTTCTACAGGCCTGGTGGGTCTTGTTGACCATCGTGGTCCAGATGTTTTCAGGTCTGGACTGCAGGCAGCAGCTGAGCAGTGTCTTGCTGAAACATGCAGGATCTTCCCTGAAAAGACCTCATCTGATGGGAGCCAAGGACACTAATGCACCCCCATACCATCAGAGAGGCAGGCTCAGGGAGGGAGGGATGTTTATAATTTCAAGCAAGAATTTCACATTTCTGTTCATCACACCACAGAACAGTTCTGGCCAGGTGGAGCTTCTTCGTTGCCTGATAGAGCTTTAGGCAGCATGTGTGGATGTGCTCCTGAGCCCAGAACAGAACCAGACCTGTTTTAATGCTGAGGGCCCAAAGATGGCCACCATCCCATACTGACCTTCAGCCTCGTCCTTGGAGCTCAGAGCTTTCTACAGGTTCTAATGTTTTGACGTGAACGAATGAAGACGGGATGTTCTCAGGATGCTCAGCCTCCGACTGAACGCTTCATGCTCCAGCTGCATGTGCACGCTTTTTCAGCCTTTAATGCTCCGTCACAAGATTTTTAAACGAACTTCTGTCATCGGAACCAAATGTATTTATTTGTGCTAAATATAATTTATAGTTAACAGTGAATAATAAGTGGGTTTGACAAACATCCAACCATTTTGTAACAACTGAAGGGAGGGATGGATGGATGGATAGATAAATACTTTATTAATGGGGGGGGGGGGGGGGTTGTTGTTGAAGCATCCAGTAAATGTTAATTATGAAAAAAAGAATCAGAATACTCAGATTTGGAAAGACAATATTGTACTAGATTCATGATTAAACTGAAAGATTTTGCAGCTCTGCTCATAGTATTATTTTTATGTTTAGTTTTTTATTATATAATATTACAATAATATATAATAAGAATATATTATCATATTATATAATATATTATTGTAATATTATATAATATATTATTATTATATTATTATACAGGTCCTTCTAAAAAAATTAGCATATTGTGATAAAGGTCATTATTTTCCATAATGTAATGATAAAAATGAAACTCATATATTTCAGATTCATTGCACACCAACTGAAATATTTTAGGTCTTTAATTGTTTTAATACTGATGATTATGGCATACAGCTCATGAAAACCCAAAATGCCTGTCCCAAAAAATTAGCATATCATGAAAAGGTTCTCTAAACAAGCTATTAACCTAACCATCTGAATCAACGACGTAACTCTAAACACCTGCAAAAGATTCCCGAGGCTTTTAAAAACTCCCAGCCTTGTTCATTACTCAAAACCACAATCATGGGTAAGACTGCCGACCTGACTGCTGTCCAGAAGGCCATCATTGACACCCTCAAGCAAGAGGGTAAGACACAGAAAGAAATTGCTGAACGAATAGGCTGTTCCCAGAGTGCTGTATCAAGGCACCTCAGTGGGAAGTCTGTGGGAAGGGAAAAGTGTGGCAGAAAACGCTGCACAACGAGAAGAGGTGACCGGACCCTGAGGAGGATTGTGGAGAAGGGCCGATTCCAGACCTTGGGGGACCAGCGGAAGCAGTGGACTGAGTCTGGAGTAGAAACATCCAGAGCCACTGTGCACAGGCGTGTGCAGGAAATGGGCTACAGGTGCCGCTTTCCCCAGGTCAAGCCACTTTTGAACAAGAGACTGCGTCAGAAGCATCTCACCTGGGACTGCTGCTGAGTGGTCCAAAGTTATGTTCTCTGATTACAGTAAATTTTGCATTTCCTTTGGAAATCAAGGTCCCAGAGTCTGGAGGAAGAGAGGAGACACAGAATTCACATTGCTTGAGGTCCAGTGTCAAGTTTCCACAGTCACTGGGGTGCCATGTCATCTGCTGGTGTTGGTCCACTGTGTTTTATCAAGGGCAGGGTCAATGCAGCTAGCTATCAGGAGATTTTGGAGCACTTCATGCTTCCATCTGCTGAAATGCTTTATGGAGATGAAGATTTCATTTTTCAGCACGACCTGGCACCTGCTCACAGTGCCAAAACCACTGGTAAATGGTTTACTGACCATGGTATTACTGTGCTCAATTGGCCTGCCAACTCTCCTGACCTGAACCCCATAGAGAACCTGTGGGATATTGTGAAGAGAAAGTTGAGAGACCAAGACCCAACACTCTGGATGAGCTTAAGGCCGCTATCGAAGCATCCTGGGCCTCCATAACACCTCAGCAGTGCCACAGGCTGATTGCCTCCATGCCACGCCGCATTGAAGCAGTCATTCATGCAAAAGGATTCCCGACCAAGTATTGAGTGCATAACTGAACATGATTATTTGAAGGTTGGTGTTTTTTGTATT